CTCTCCTAATTTAGAAATAGTAATAGAAATTGAATGATTGGGAGAATCTCTGAGTGCCATAAGGCAAAAACCAGCCATGACTTGTCCCAAACTCTCCACCCTCAAGGCCTGTGCTCCTGAGGCAAACTCTGCCTGTGCACACTGTTAATATTTTCTGTGGAACATAAGGGTCCAAAAACCAGGGGATCCAGTCTTTCTAAAGAACATGTTAAATAGGCTCTTCTCTGACTTTTTCATTCTGTACAGAAATGAAGATTCTTAGCACCCTGTGTTACCTGTGTCATCTTTTCCACCCTCCCTGTATAGTTCTATCACAGTTTTGGCCTTCTGTATTAATACCTACATTGTAGTGGTGGTGGTGGTGGTGATGTAATAATTATTTATGACAGAGCCATATAGTGTACAATTGTATGTGTTTGCTATTAACCCCATTCCTCCCAAGTTAAAAGCAGATCTTCCCATTTTTTAAATTGAGATGATGTTGTTAAGTGCCATCAAGTGAAGTACGACTCATAGTGACCCTATGAACAGTAGATCTGAACCCTGTCCTGTCTTGTGTCGTTCTCATCATCTCTTGACACATCGGAGCTTATTGCTTGAAGTCACTGTGCCAGTCCATCTCTTTGAGGACCTTCCTCTCTTTTGCTGACCCTCCACCTTTCCAAGCATGATGTCCCTTTCCAAAGAATAGCCTCTCTTAGCCACATGTATGTAGAATATGAGATGAAGCTTTGCCTCAATCTTTATGATAAAGCATGCACATAGCAAAGTCCAGCCTTTTTAGCTTACAATTAAATGAGTTTTGACAAATGCGTATAGCTTCATAACCAGTGCTGAGGTAGTGGTGTAGGACGTGCCCTCTTAGTCTTAATCCTCCCCCAACACTAGCCCTGGCCACCTCTCATCTATTTCCTCTCCTTGCTTCCCCCTCCCCTTTTCCCCAGACTGTTATACAGGCAATCTTACCATCTGTGGTTTTTCGAGTCTGGCTTTTTCTTGTATAATGAAATACCTTCTTAAATTTGTTTTGCTTTCTGTATGCTTAAAATTTATTTCCAAATTCTAAAAAAAAAAAAAAAAATTAGCTACTCTTGAAATCATCCATCCTTTGTCATAGTTGGGTTATGCTCTAGGCTATTGTTCCTTACTGTTGAGTCTGCTCTGACCCAGTCATCCTGTGCAGGGCTATAAAATGTTGCCTAAGCCTGTGTCACCTTAAATACTGGTATGTTGGTGTCCATTGTTGTGGGTATTCTGTCAGTCTGTCACATTGAGGGTTTCCCTTATTTTTGCTGACCCTCTTCTTTTAACAAACATAATGTCCTTTTCCACTGATCAGTCTTTCCTGATAATGTGTCCAAGTAAGCAAGTTGAAGTCTCTGCATAATGGCTTCTAAAGAACTTTCTTGTTATTTTTATTTTCTTAAGGGATCACTTTTCTCTGTGTAGCCTTCACAAAAGAATAACTGTGAAGTAATTAAAATATTTTTTATTCTGAAACTTGTTTTAGCTAAACATGAAATCTCCATGAGTCAGGATCTACCCTCTGCCAGCTGGTTAGAATTCCAAGTTGGATTTTTCTTTTCTTTTCTTTTTTTTATTTTTCTTTTCCCCCCTTAAAATGGGAGTGATATTGTTCCGTTCCCTGTTCTTTAAGCATTCAGTGTAACAGTTGAGAGCTTTTGTTCTGCTTTGTGTATTACCAATTTCCTCCCTCCCTCCCTCCCCACTGAAAATTTTAGGATAACTTCTCACTGGTATTGTGAAATTTAACTGTAATACACATTGAAGAAGATCTTTCTTCTTTGGACTGGACACTTGAAGCTCTGGGGGCCTGATTGAGAGGATTTGAGTTGACAACCCAAAGGTATATGGTTTGAATCTACCAGCTGCTCCAGTGAGAGAAAAATAGGTAGCTTCCTCCCATGTGATTAACTGCTTCTTGAAAACCTGCTGGAGGATCAGCCATGGGTTGGTTCAGACTCCATAGAATACAACAACAGTAACAACTGGATACTTAGTATAAATATATACAAATTAAAATAATGGGGAAAATTGTGCCCACTACCTGACATTATTCCCTTATGCAAAACATTAGATGTTTTTCTTAGGCTCTTGTTTTTAAAAAAGAAACATTGTTCTCTCTGAGTTTGAATATTGATTGCTCTGGAGAGCTTTGTGGAATGAGACTTGAGTTGATGCTGAAGAATGGGTAGAATTTGATCCAAGTAGCAGAGCTATTTCTGGCTAAGTGTATCACTAAGGAAGTGCTCATAACTACCCATTGAGAAGACTGGTGAGTGAAAGTGAAATGTCTGTGAGAACAAAGGTGCAGGATAAGTTTAGCTAGGTTAGGTATAGCATAGGAAAAGTACAAACATTATTAATTGAACACTTCCAGTGTACTAAGCATTACTTTTTAAAAATTTTATTCAGCAATTTGACCTGTCAAAAACTGCAATAAGCAATACCACAATCACTCGTATACCTATTGGTCAAGTTTAAAAAATTAAGCATTGACAGTAGCCCCTTTCATGCTCATCTCTTCCCCACCAGAAATAAGTTTTAATATAGGTACTGTATGTCCATGTACCATAAGATTACTGTAGTTCAGATACATCACGGCTTCTACCAGCATACTCCTGCTCTGTTTACAGAGAGGTGATTAACTGTAGTTACCAGTTTCTTGTTAGTCCCTTCTGGAGCCATTCTAAACTTACAGTCTGAATAAATACCTTTTTTTATTGGTGTTACACAGTGTTATCGTACAATATACGCTATTGTGCTTCTGACTTTTTTTTATTTCAGAATGTTTCTTAGAAATTCTTCCATGTCAGATTATTTATTTTCGGTAATTTAAATAACTGTGTTAAAATACAATGTACAAATAAAAATGCACACAGAAATGTACAGCTTAGTGAACAATAACAAAATCATCAACTATATAGCAACTGCCAGATCTCCTGTGTACCCCTGCGTTGGACCTTCCTTTTTCTCCAGATGAAATTGTTAGCCTGACTTTGAAAATTAGTTATTGGTGCCAGTTTTTATCCCTTTGATATGTAGTTTAAAAGTATGCATTCTTGCATCTAACTTCTTTTAGTCAACACTATTTGTTGTTAGATTCATCCATGATGTTGGTGAAACTGTAGTTAATTTTGATTGCTGCACAGTGTACAAGTAAAATAATGCTCATAAGAACATTCCTGTAAATGTCTGTGCGTATGTACACAAATCTAGAAATAGAATTGCTAGTTGATAGCATATGTATAGGTTTATCCTTCGGTGGCTATTAAGACTTTTCCTAGTGGTTGTACTAATTTACTGTATTCACACCAGCAGTACTCCATTTTTATGAACCCATGATCCTGTGAGGCTTTAAATTTTAGGTTGCATTTGGACCAGCCAAGGCAGCCAAGGGATGGGAGAATCGGGGTGGTGGAGAAATGTGGGTAGGTGAGATGGTGAGGGATCAGCTTTTGAGCTGTTTATTAGCCATTTGGACACACTCTTGTAGACAGTTTGATAGATCGTTAGCATATTTTTCTGTTGTTCTTTTTAATATAAAATTGTCTTTTTATATAAGTGAGGTCACACAATATTTTTCCTTTCATGACCTACTTATTTATCATACCATGTTGTTATTGCTAGGTGCCATCAAATCTACTTCAACTCACAGTGACTGTATAGGGTTTTTTTGGATTTTATTAATTTTAATGAACATTTACAGAGATTTTGGATTTTCATTCATTCTTGTTGCACTTTTCTCCGTGCCCACCCTCCCCCCCCAGTTCGCTCTTCTCTTTGAAAAGTAAAAGAAAAATGCCTTCATTGGTATACAGTCACCCCCCCCCGTGCACCTCCACCCCCCACCCCCACCCCGTACACTCCACTATGCAGCCTTCATTCTGGACTCTTGTGATTACCATAACACCCTATCATATATCATTTTTAAACGGTTCTCTCCCTCATCTGTTTCAATGCAATATACATAATTTATCCAGTTTTTCTCAGTCTTACCCCAACCCTGATGTCAGTCCTATTCTACAACAGTGGCACTATGCAGTATTTGTCTTTTTTGTGACAGATATTTCACTCAGCATAATGTCCTCCAGGGTCACCCATTTTGAATAATATTGCATGAGTTCCTTGTTTTTCAACTGTATAGTATTTTTAAGATTATGCCACATTAGAGTATGTACCACATTTTATTCTTTTTTTATGGCTAAATAACATTCTATAATATGTATTTACTACATCTGTTTATCTACTTATCAGCTGATATTTCTATCTTTTAGTTTTTGTAACTAATGCCCCTACTTGTGTACAAGTTTTTGGGTGGACTTAGGCTTTCATTTCTCTAGGGTATATGTCTAGGAGTAGAAATGATAAGTCATATGGTATTGCTATGCTTAGTTTTCTGAGCCCCCAAGAACCTTGGCCCATCTTTTACTTGTCTTCATTATCGAGTTGTTAAGAAGGACACCTAGATACTTAGAAAGAGGAGAGGACAAAGACAATAAAGAAGAATTTCAGTTTTATGTTTCAAAGATAGAGAAAGAACTTTCCAGATAGAAAATACAGGAAAGGAGGTTTTCCCCTTGTCTGTCTCTCTCTCCAGACCAATGAATCCCGCTTGGATCCCTCTTAATAAAGCTGCTTTGAGCTTTTAGGGAAAAAAAAAAAGAAAATACAAGAAAGGATACTTGAGGCAGGAGGAAGAATGTGCTACTAGGGGCCTTAGAATGTGCATTTGAGAGGGATGCTGCTGGAAAAGAAAGTACGTGATACTCAGAAGGACATTATACACAGGACAGAAACTTGGACTTTTAGATTATAGACTGTGGGGGAGCTGTTTCTAGAAAGAAGCATTTGAAATAATTTGTTCTAGTGAATTTGGTAGGCAGCTGCTGTACTTTGCTGCTGGATGTTCTTCTGTCATCAGTAAAATGTTTCTCTTGTGTTTTTTTGTTTGTTTGTTTGTTTGTTTTTATTCACAGTTCCCAGAAACTTTTTTGGCAGAGAGGGACAAGCAGTCCAAATGGAGTGGACTTCCTCAGCTGCTTCTTAAATTATATTCCACCAGCCACCTCCACAGCGACTTCATTGAGTGCCAAAACATCCTCAAGGTAACTCTTAGGTCTTAGAGGGACTGCGCTTTGGTTCTCCAGATGAAACAAGCTGTCTGCTTTTAAAAATAGCTTTTCTTTATTATGGAAGTTCACAAAAAATGCTACGAATAAAGATTACCCCAGTCCTACCAGTGAGAGGTAATCATAGTGCATTTCCTGAGTGTCCTTCTGATTGTTATCTGCCCTTGTTTGTGGCAGTGCTTGCTTAATTTGGGAAACTGACTATGCTCGCAGATGGAGTTGGATGGTCTCTTTTTTGATGTGGAATGGGGATGATAACTTCTTGGTTTTTGTTGTGTACTATCTACTGGCACAGGAAGAGATTGCCCCTTCTTTTCCAGTAGAGCATCTGGTGGATTCAAACAGCTTGCCTTCCGGATTGCAGTGCAGTTTCTTGCCACTAGGCCACCAGAGCTCCCCTGAGTCAAATTTGAAGGATCTTGTGTTACTGAAAGGTCATTCATTTTAAGGGGCCTTGTGGTTGTGGACAATTATGAGTAATAATAGAAGATAGAGGACTTTTGACTTGACTGATGTTTGGGAGATGCATGGAAATTATGCATACAGAGTAACTGTATGAAGGCAGTTGTTATCAAACTTGTGTGTACATCAGAATCACCTTGGAGGGCTTGTTAAAACTGAGTACTGGGTCCCACCTCAGAGTTTCTGATTCTGTAAGTCTGGGGTTACTGTGCCTAAAGTATAGTCTCAGGTGACCCCAAATTTGAATTTAGAGAACCAGCTTTATTTGGAGTTAAAATTTATGCTAATTATATTTGGTAAAAATGAAACTTAATGATAACATTTTTTCAGAGGTGAAATTCTGATTATTTTATCCCATAAGTCATTCTAAGACATAATAGGTTGAATCTTTAAGAAAAGACTTATTTGTATTCTTGATTTTTCCTCATTATTTTATTAGAATAGAAATAATTATAGCCTCTTACACTTGGCTAAAAGTACTTTGCAAAGAATTACAGGTTTCATTCCTACAAAATTTCTGAGATACAGGGTGGAGGCAGAAGGATAAAAGAAACTAACATGTGTGAGTTTTGCCTGTGAGACCGTACTCATCCAGCATATGCTTAATGAAACTTACTGAATACCAGGCATATTTAATTCTCATGCTAACTATGAGGTAGGTGGCATATTTGCCTGTAATAGTCATGAATATTTTGGTTGCAGTACAGAAATTCAGGCTCGCTCAAGCAGAAGGGTTTTATTGCCTCACATACTGAAAGTATAGGTGTAAATTCAAGACTGAACAGAGAATCATCTGTTCATCTTTTGTCTTGGTGTCAGTGTGTGACTTCATGTGCTCCCAGCTAAAATGTGACTTTTTTTCAACTTGAACCAGTCACTGATGCTAAGGGAGAAGAGGTACTATTGGTTAGGCTTGATCATCTACCCCACAGAGGTGTTTTGCACCTCCATCAAAATCTTAAGGAAACAGAGGAAGGGCACATGCCCTTCTAATTATGGGATGGGGAGGCATACACAATAGACTGAGCAAGATAGCTGAGCACATGTGTGAGTTGGATAATTTAGGAGCATTTATAGTTGCTCTTTTAAAGATGGCTATCTCCAGGTGAGTTTTTTTTTGGTCCTTTCTGCTTTGTCTGTTATGGTCTAGCTTCGGTCCCACTGGTGCCTGAGGTAGTAGTGATCTCTTCTTGAGTATAGGTTCCATGAGCAGTGAATTCCTTAGCTGGTAGTTAGCCGTCTTACTTTGAACTTCAGGATTGAGTTATTTCTGAGTTGTCCTTGTATGAGGATTTGTGAGGGTTGGCCTAGGAAAATAAGGTCTAGCAAGGAGATTAGTTAATTGATGGTGGGAGTCTGCAGATTATTTGATTTTTCTTTTCTATTATGGTAATAACAAGATGGTCAAAGGGAGAGTCCCTTAATGCCTGATCTCATTTGAGAACCGCTGCCTTAATCTTCCCTGAGAAGCTTCTAAGAGACCTGGGCTTGCTGTTCCTCACTCACCACATCACCAAAATAGTTCTGCTTTCTCTTTTAAATACTGATTCTGGTGTCATAACGTCTGGGTTTAAATTTTGGCTCCACTTCATACAAGTTATATGATACTGGAAGTATTTTTGCACCTGAGTTTCCTTATCTATAGAATGAAAGTTACAATAGTAATTTGTCAGATTATAAAGATTTAAAGATGTAGTATCTGAAATATTTAGAATCATATCTGGTCCATAATAGCTATTATTAATGCTCTTACTACTACCTTTATTGTTACCTATTTCTAAATAAAAAATTATTTTCCTATTAGTTTTGTTCCATGACAAACATAGGGTTCTCTGGCACAGATAAATTTGAGAACCACTATGGCAGCATCTAATAAGGATAGTACCTCTCTATAATCCACCTTTATTAAATGCTTATTATATCTTGGGACCTGAGGAGGACATAAAGAGTAAACAATTGTGCAGGGGGAGATGGGGATTAATCGTGGAGCTATACAATTTGATGGGGAGGGTTGAGTGAAATTGGAAGAATCTGTTCTGGAGAACAATATATTCGAATTTTATAAATAAACTAGTATAATTTAAAAAAAGAATAAACACCTTTCCAGTTTTATCTTCAAGGAACAGATTGTATTGGGGAAAATAACAACAGATGTGCAAATAAGTGTAAAGTAAAAGTGTTAATGCTACACATGATTTACACATTGCTTTGGGAACTCAGGAGGAGCAGATTATTTTAAGGGGGGACGTGGAGTTCAGGAAAGACTTTTGTAAGAGGTCACAATTATCCATTACTATAAAACCAGCCACCCCAAAACAAAACTTAAAAGTAACTATCATTTCTCTGTTTATAGCAGTTTTGTCATTTCGTCTCTGATCCATTGGATATGAAAACTGAATGTCTCTCCATATGTCTTTTTTTAAACTAGGAAATTTCTCCACTTCTCTCCATGGAGGCTATGGCATTTGTAACTGAAGAGAGGAAACTTACCCAAGAAACCACTTACCCAAATACTTATATTTTTGACTTGTTTGGAGGTGTAGATGTAAGTAATGCTTTACTATTTCTGCAACTACTATTTAATAATTTGAGAACTGAATTTGTAAAATGAGAGATAGGAAAACAGCTCAAGAGTTTATGGCAACCAATACTTTTTTAGTAGTGCTGTTGTACTCACCTATGGTTAAAGCAGCATAATTTAGAAAAAAGTTATTTGAATTAATAGTCTATCACCTTTTAAAAAAAGATACCAGTGAAAAGTGTACCTTCCTCTTGCCTGCTGTACATTCTTCAAGGGCACTGTGATTGCTCATTTCTTGCACATCCTTCAGACATGTTCTCTCTGTCTTGTCTGTCTGTGTGTGTTTGTAACCTCTGCTCCTCTATTTCAGGTTTATTTTCTCCCAACATAGAGTGGCATACATTGTGGATACCCAGGTCCACTGTTCTTCTGTTCCTTTTTCTCTAACTTTCTTGTAACTTTCTCTACCTTGGAGACAATTTCATATAAATTTGCTTCATTATTTAATTAACTCTACAGTGTTCCTTGCTATGATAATATTCCCATAATTTATTTACTCAGGTCCCAGTCAATGGGTATTATTTTCTTATACTTCCACTATTATAAAGAGTTTTTGATAAAGATCTTCATTATATACTTTTATCTACATGTGAGTATATAACTTTGGGATAAAACTTACATGTCTTTGTTTATAAACTTTACAGTTTATACACAAAAGAGACTATATTAACGTCTATACCAGCAAAATGTAAAGGTTTGATTTACCCAATTTCATATCCACATAGTGTGTGTTTGTGTGTTTTTATGGACTTTAAATGAAAGTATATCTTCAGTACTGAAAAGTATGCCAGAAATTAACTTTTCTCTCTACCACTTAAATAAAAATAAACAGCTAGCATCTCTGTAGGTCCCCTTCGTAAAACAATATGTTTTAAGTGTTAGTATTTATGAATCAGGAAAAAGATGTTATTTCTTCATAGTTTAAAAAAATGTACGTATTTAGGAGATTGAAAATCTTTTTCAATGTGTTTATGAATATTTCCTTTGCCAATTATCAGTGCTATTTGCATCTTTTTCTATTTGGTTATTAGATCTTTCTCTTATTCATGTTTAAGGATTCAATTTTTTTTTAAAAGTCTTTTGTCTTTTCTCCCCTAGTTTGTCAATTCGATTTTGACTGTTTATGGTATTTTTTAGTGTAGAAATGTTTACTCCTGAGTTGTCATATTGATCAATCTGTTTTTGTGGCTTCAGGTTTTTATGTCACCCTTTTCTCTCTGCTGAATTATTTCCTTATGATACCAGAATGTTTTAGTTGTGCATAAGTTTTGAAGCCCTCAAAATGTCTTTGGGAGTACTGAGTAAGGTTTGGAATCCTGCTTCCCCATCACAGTTATGAAATACCACTCCACTCTTACCATACACTGAATTTTTAATTTCTTTTGAGCTTTTATTTCTGTTCCACTGTGTAGTTTTTATTCACTCCACTACCAAATAGTTTTAAAGATTATAAATTTATATTTTAGCATATGATAGTATTGTTTTTGTTGTTGTGTGTCATTAAGTTAGAAAAGCTTTGAGTTACTCCCATGTGCTTTAGGGTCTCTGAAAACCCAATATGTGGAGATTACCAATCTTTATCTCTTTGAGCACTTGATGGATTTGAACCACATGTCCCAGGTTTGGCAGTGCTGCTTCTTAGCACTCGGCCCCAGAGCTCCCTTTTAATAGTCTTTTCTTGATATGTTTCCTTATACCAGCAACATTGAATTTTCATGGTTATTCTGTGCCCTTCCCTTGTCCCTAGTTAAACTTTAGAACTGGCTTTTATATAGTTCTAAAATTTTTTCTTGGTTCTGTTGCCTTAAATGACTAGTTTAATTTAAATTGGCATCTTTATGAGACTGACTCTAGTAGGAAGAGAATATATTTTATATTTATTCAAGTCTTCTTTTATGAAAGATGATGTGTTAGGAGTTGACTATTGATGAAA